CCTGTTGTTGAATGATGAGGACCATTTGAAACAGCTGGATTCAGTGTACCGCACGATTTGTTCCCTGTTCCGTTGTGGCGGGTACTGCAATTAATTTATGAGCATTTAATAAGAGATCCTCCTGTGAGCTGGGTACATCACTGTCTGTACACGTTTCAGGAACAGTGGGATTTGAACCCACGACAGGGAACGTTTCGGAATTTGACATTTCTGGACAACTGGGCGGACCATGAATAACTGTCTCGTTTACATCACTGGTCGTCCGGGATTCACAGAGGCTTTTATAAACAGCTTCATATGTTCTGCAGTTGTTTTCCAGCTCAGTCTGCAGATGAGAAATGAATTTACCAACTTCTGTTGCACCTCCGAAACATGGAACATTTACCAACAGTGTGCGTAAATTTTCTAAAAAATTTAACTGGCTATTTTTGAAGCACTGCTGTTGTTGCTCAAGTAGAAGCTGTAATCGATCGGAAAAGGTAGTCTTTTTTTTTCAGCACCTGCAATGAAAATTAACTGTAGGAATAATGACCAATGTTGCTCAAGGACGCTGGTGACAATCTGGATGCTGATTGGTCGAAACAATTAACCTGAATCTCGTCCAATTACAAGGTTCAAAATTTTTCTCCACCCCGTCGCCAATTGTTATGAATTTAAGTTGATTGTTGGTGAGACTGCAGGTTTGATACGCAGCGTTTATATCGATCGGTTACAGTGACGCGTAAAACACGTACGGACGGCCTAGAGTCTCTATTGGTCTCGCTTCCCTGTCTAGCCCAGTCAGTTGAGTCCAGAACACAAGTCACAGCCTCGGAGATATGAATCTTATTTCAAACATACTTTGTTTATATACCAATCAAGCACACCACATCGTACCATAAAAATAGAAAACAACATTTTGTACAATACTCAACAAGTGAACAGATATCGACCAATAGGAAATATCCATTTAAGTCCAAGGACACCACTGGACTTAACATGATAATTATTGGTCTATTCTTCCGCATCCACAACAATTTGGTTTCATATTTTCATATATGTGTTAAAATATTACTGAATATTAGAAGGAAACCTGATTATGGTCTTAATGAATTAGTTATATTGGTTGATGTTAGACATTCACACCACTGAACGCCGGCTCAGTGGTCTAGTAGGTTAAGCGTTCACGCGCGAGACTAAAGGCCCTGGGTTCGAATACCGCGAGCGGGTCGCGGATGCGCACTGCTGAGAAGTCCCGTGATGGGACGAAACGGCCTTCCAGTGCTTCCAGGTTTTCAATGGCGGTCTAACATCAATCGGTTCATGATCTCAATAAATGAAAGCAGTATTGTTCAATATGTGTTCGAAGAGTTATTTTTCAATGATACTTCTTTTTGATGTATATATCATAATCATAATAGATAAACAATACTTTTTAATGATTGTATAACGTCCGAACCCCAATATATTTCACACCAAGGTCAATCTTATATCTAAACAACAGTCCTATAGATTATCATTTCACTAAAATTATCATTTCGACTAGTATATGAAGTAAGAGTTGTTAGGATTGGTTCAACGTGAATAAAAATAGTCAACTTCCCTTAAAACAAGTAAAAAGACTTAAAGTTCCTAACGATCAGTTGAAGTGCTAATCCAAACATCTGGTCACTTACAGAATCTATTTAATATTCTAGACTCATGTTTTGAAAAGGCCGGATACCATGAACAACAGACTACTGTAGGAGAGAACAAACAAGATTCCAGTTGTAAACGAAATTAGGAAAAGACAATGGGAATCGATAGGACATACATTACGCAAATCACCAAACCGCATCATGAGACAAGTCCTAACTTGGAATCGTGAAAGGAAGTGAAAAAGATGAAGGTCAAAGAACACATTCCGTTGGGAAATAGAAGCATGTATGAAAAGAATGAATAACAATTGGAAAGAGCTGGGAAGGAATTGTTTGGGATAGGGTTGAATGGAGTGTGCTGGTTGTTGACCTTTGCTCCTTCACGTGAAGTAAAGGACGTAAGTAAAAGTAAATGTCTGGAAAAATATAACAACTATCGGTTCCACAATCGAAATTTGATGAAAATGTGTATTCTTTATCTCTTACCCCAACAGTTTTTGGTGTCTGATCGATCATGTAGGTGCCTATTGCTCGATATTTTCATTTTTCTATTATTTTAGAACTAAGTCACTCGCATAAATTCACGTAGTATTGTTTGCTTGTATCTTCCCATTGTTATTTAGGACTTTAATTGATCAATCCGTTGTTGGTATATGTGTATCCTGTGTGAACTGCCTTGATATTACCTTAAGTCACAGGCTTAATAAGCAAAGATGGATAGTAGATAGCAGTGGGATGCAGGACACGCGTTTCATCCTATTTGGGAATTGTCAGCTGGATACTTTTAAAGCTAGTGACGAAAGGTAATATCGAGGTAATCTGCACAAATTACACATATGCCAACGAGAGACTGATCAATTGCAGTCCTACACAACAATGGGAAGATTCAAGTCAATAATACCAAGTGAATTTAAATTCACCCCATTGTACAAGCAAGGGCCTATCAGGACTCAGTAGTTAAGTGGATAACGCAATGGCATTTGAAACGAACAGTACTAGGTTCGAGTTTCAGAGTGAACACCAACTCTGAGATACAGATACATCTAGCTAAAGAGTCCCAAATAGGACAAAACGCGCGTCCTAGATTCCATTTTTATCCACCATCCGTCTTTGCTTATTAAGTCTCACATAGATAGAAAAGCATTCACAATATTAGCTGCAATTTCCAGTTTATATTTATCTATGTGACTCTCTCTGATCAGTTTAAACTCGAAGATAATTTTCGTTATAGACCTGCATCAGTTCCTTCATTCCATTATGTAAAGTGGTTGAAGTTGACTGATTGAACTACTAAGTTTAATCCTATATAGAATGAAGTGTCAGTACTAGTGAAGATTGAAAGATCAAAAAAAGACAACAACCTATAGCTTCTTGACTTTTACAGCTTTCTCAGAGGATATCAGTTTGTAATGTAAAATTATTGACAAATTTATATTTATGTTACAATAGTATATTGAGAAGATGGAGTTATCTGTGTTTATTTGATTGAGTCCTTCTATAAATTCTTTCAAGAAATGAACAATAAACATACTTAAATTCACTTGATATAGCTTACTTGAATCTTCTTATTGATGTTTAGCACTGCAATTGATCAATCTCTTATTAGCATATGTGCATACCATGAAGGTTGCCTCAATATTGCCTTAATTCGCAAACATTATAAGCAAAGATCGATAGTAGCTAGCCGTGGAATCCAGAACTCAGTAGCTAAGTGAATAAAACAATGGTGTTTGAAGCGAACAGTACTGAATTCAAGTCTTAGAGTGATCATCAACTCTGAGATGCAGGTACATCTTGCTGATGAGTCCCAAATAGGACGAAACGCGCGTCCTGGATTCCACTGCTAGCCACAATCCATCATTGCTTGTGAATTAAGGCAATATCGAGGTATACGCACAGTATGCACATAAACCAATAACAGACTGATCAACTGTAGTCTTAAACCTCAATGGGAAAATACAAGCCAAACAATACCAAGTGAATTTAAATTCACCCCATCGCACAAGCAAGTGGCTATCAGGACTCAGTAGCCAAGTGAATAACACAATGGTGTTTGAAGCGAACAGTACTGCATTCAATTCTTAGAGTGATCATCAACTCTAATATGCAAGTACATCTAGCTGATGAGTCCCAAATAGGACGAAGTGACGCGCATCCTAGATTCCACTACTAGTCACTATTCAACCACTATAAACTTTAATAAACATATTAGTTACCTTCAACTAACTAAACATGAAAATTGATTTTTATCGATGGTAAAGGTAGTAAAAGGTTATACATCATAATACAAAAAAGAAAAAAATTTTTATAATGATTCAAACTACGCAGTAATATGACTGGCATAAAGTTTCTTTAGATAGTTATAATATTTTTATCAGAAGGGGTTTTGTGGAGATTGTAGTAATTTTATTAAATGAATTCATGAGCCAACTGAGGCTAGACCATCATGGATGGCCGATTCGTCCTAGTATGAGACTCTTCAATAGTGCGCATCCACGATCCCTCTCGTGGAGTTCAAACCCAGGACCTATCGGTCTCGTGCGCGGATGCTTAACTTCTAGACTACTGAGCCGGCAATAGTCTAGAAGTTAAAAGAAAAAAAATAAAAATAAATTTATAATGATTCATACCTTCTTTACGCATTCCAACTTGTATACATTTTTGAAAACGACAATATTGACATTGATTACGATGATGTATATCAATTGGACATTGTTTATTACTACGACATGTATAATTTAATTGACGTCTTACAGAACGTTTAAAAAAACTTTTACATCCTTCACATGTATGTTGACCATAATGTTTACCGCTACTTTTATCACCGCATACAACACATTCCATTAATTGATTTGATTTTAATTGAATTTCTATATTATAATCATGAAATTGTTGTTGTTGTTGTTGTTGTTCTTCTTCATGATCATCTTGTTCATCATCTAATTCATAATCTTCATCATCTATAGTTGAATATTCATCCATTGGTTTTACTTTATTATTATTATTATTATTTTGGCTCGGATCATTGTCAGGATCATGATCAGGATTATTATCATAATCAATATTTGTATGTATATCTATTTGGTTTACATTGTTGTCAAGAGTCATTTGTATAGATTTATTATTACTAGTATTATGATTATGATTATCGATTATCGATTGTTTGTTCCGTTTTTTTATTGATTTATGATATTTTAAAAATGGATCATATTTATTAAATTGTGAAATAATTTTTGTAGATTTACATGTTTTAACATTAAATTTATCATTTAAATTCATAAATATGTTAGGAGTAGTATCAATTATCGGTATTGTTGAAATGGAAGTAGTAGTAGTAGTAGTTGTCGTCATCGTCGTTGTCGTTGTCGTCACCGACGTTGTTGTTGTTGTTGTCGTTGTCGTCGTCGTAGTAGTAGTAGTAGTACTAATATTTTCTTCACTCAAATGTTTCATAAATTTAGTTTCGAATAGATCTGTTCATTATCATTTGATAATTGATGATTGTATAATGAATTATTATTTTCTCCACTATTATTATTAATCATTGTTAATTCATTGTAATTATCATTAGTTAAAAATACTTTTGTTGGCCTATTCAATTCATAATGATAATTCGATTGTGAATGATAATGATTCTGTGGATCATGAAGATCATGATGATGACGACGACGATGATGATAATAATAATAATCTAACCATAAAGGATTACAATATGAAGTCAATGGATTCGAAGTAAACTCTTGATTATTATTGAAAGGAAATTCTCGTTTATTTAATATATTCATATTTGTACTTAAATTCATTGGTAATGGATTAAATGCAGATAGCCTCTTTTTATTTGATAAATTATCTATAGTTGCAATGGGATTATGTTGATTTGAATATGTATAAGATGTTGAAGAATTAGTTGTATAAACTGATGTGGATATTAATGAGCATAGAGACATTGACGGTGATGATGATGTTGATGATGAAGATGAGGATGACAAAGAAGAGGAAACTGAAGAAGATAGTGAAGACAATGAATGATTGCAATTTTTTTCTATTCCCCATAAATGTGGAAATAATAAATCCGGTGGTGGAGGTCGTGGGATAAAAATTGGTGAAAAATCAAATTTTCTTGATTCATTCGGTGTTGTCATGATGATGTAATCTTTTCAAGAAATATATATTTTTAATGAGCCATATAATGTTAGTTTTGGATATTATTTGAAATGAAGACTGTTATTAATAAGTTGTCTTTAAATAACCAAATATATGCATGCTCTCACTCCCTCCCTCCCTCCCTCTCTCTTCCCACTTGGATTTAATGTATAAAGTTTATTCTACTGGATTGGATCGCGATCTTGGTGATAAAAGACATACAAGGGGTGAATAGGTGATGAATGATAATGATTTTATGATAATCAATGGTATTAGACACATGCATATATATCCAGGCCAGAATAAGTAAGTATTCAAGTATAGAAAATCACATAGAAACATTATTCTACAATGTATGTCTATGTATATGTGTATGTGACTGAATATTATCAATATTCATAATGTAATCTATGATGTTTCAGGTTGATATAGTCGAACCCTTTTACCGATTATCTGAATAACATACCGATTAATTAGTTGTGATCTTATTTGATCATCAGTTTTTTTTGTCTTCTAAAATTACCCCTGGTTTTAAATGAATACTGAGACTATTATTAGTAGTAATAACAGTAGTGATACTAATAATAGTAATAGTATTATACCGATGTTGCCTTCTCAGAAAGGCAATAATATTTAATGAAATCTATCTTATATCATTCCTGCTACAACTAACATTATAATGAGATTGTTTTCAGTGTTGGTGATGGTGATGACAATGATGATGATGATTTCAGTAGTTAGCTGGTAAGGGATGAAAAGTAAATGTCAAAGACCATACCAACATTAGAGATGGAAAGTATTATCATTATTATGATTATTATAAGACTTCCAATCATATTCAAATTAAGTGTTACAATGTCTTAACCATAGGGCAATAATAAATGTGAGATAGATAAGACAGAAATTTCTCTACTGAATATATGTATGTTTGTATGCATATGTATATGTATATACATATACATACGTCTCCCTTTCAGTTTATCCTTAACTAATTCTATTTTAGTAACTAAACTAACCAACTAGTCAATCGGTCAACTTAGCTAACCACTAAGATTTAACTATGATTTTCCTTATCTTTCATCTTTTTTTATAGTGAAAGAAATAATAATCATGACATTAAACTATCAAAAGGGGATTCACTTGGTATTTTCACAGATTGAAATCATGATTCAGTTGAAGCTAGACCACCATTGATAACGTGGAAGCACTGGACGGCCGTTTCGTCCTGGTATGGGACTCCTCAGCAGTGCGCATCCACGATTCCGCACCACGCGGGGCTCGAACCCAGGACCTACTGGCTTCGCGCGCGAGCACCTAACCATTAGACCACTGAGCCGGAATCCAGCGGTGTTAATGTCTAACTTCAATCTGTGAAAATTTCTAAAAATCTCCACAAACCCCTTCTGATAATAATCATCTGCTCACTAGCGACTGACTTCAAGAGACACTCCTGGAGTTCTAGTGGGAAGCCGTTACCAGTGGAGTACAACCAGGTCTGTTGTGAGATATCAGCTCACTGAAGACAATGGTATATGGTGGCGCAACTTCGTGGATTGGTTGAAGTTAGACATTGACACCGTTGGATGCCGGCTCAGTGGTCTAATGGTTAGGTGCTCGCGCGCGAAGCCAGTAGGTCCTGGGTTCGAGCCCCGCGTGGTGCGGAACCGTGGATGCGCACTGCTGAGGAGTCCCATACCAGAACGAAACGGCCGTCCAGTGCTTCCAGGTTTTCAATGGTGGTCTAGCTTCAACTGGCTCATGATTTCAATCTGTGAAAATGTCTAAAAATCTCCACAAACCCCTTCTGATCACTTGGTATTGTTTGGCTTGTATTTTCCCATTGAGGTTTAAGACTACAGTTGATCAGTCCGTTATTGGTATATGTGCATACTGTGCGTATCCCTCGATATTGCCTTAATTCACAAGCTTTTTGTAAGCAACGATGGATAGTGGCTAGCAGTGGAATCCAGGACGCGCGTTTCGTCCTATTCGGGACTCGTCAGCTGGACGTACCTGAGTGGACAACGCGATGGTGTTTAAAGCAAATGGTACTGGGTTCGAGTCTCAGAGTGAACATCAACTCTCTGAGATGCAGGTACATCCAGCTGACGAGTCCCATATAGGACGAAACGCGCGTCCTGGATTCTACTACTAGCCACCATCCATAATTGCTTATCAAAAGAGGATTTAAAAAAAACAAGCCAATGAATAACTGATTTAATCCTGATACTCTAGTTCTAATGTTGATTACAGCAGAATAAAATCAAAAGAAGAATGTTACTGTTACTCATTTATCAAGTTTACATTTAATTATACGACACCTGAATCAAACTAAAATGTGGTATCGATTCATGTAGTGAACGATTTTCATAGTTGATATTGTGAATCAATTTGAACTAGAACATCACTTAAATCCTAGGATCACTGAACCAGGGTTTTATCCTTTTATAAGATTCAGGATTGTATATCCATGATCCAGCAAGCGGGACTCGAGCCTAGGACCCTCGGTTTTGTGCGAACACTTCACCTCTAAATCATCAAGTCGATATCTGACGGTTTTAATGTTTCACTTCAATCAATATATGGTTTTGCGCAACCGTTTATCCATTACCTAGAGTGGATAAATATCTCATATTCGACAGGGATTGAACTCCACTGGGCTGAGTTATGTTGGTTCAGACAGACTATCAGATTGGGATTTAAAGATAACTGTGATCAGTGCTTAGAAAGTGTACATGATATGTTTCAAAAGTGGGTTACAATGATACAGATGCATTCATTTCGATTGCATACGTAATATGAACAGTAACTATAAAAATTGTTGATCTGGTTGTTAGAAGAGGCATCGGCCTCGTGGCTTCCGAAGGAACTCGGCTTTCACCATAAAGCGTCATAATTCTTCTAAATGCAGACCTTCTAACTCCAAGGGCAGAGTTAAAATGGTTTGGATTATTCTTTCTGGTAAGTGTTTTTTAGCGAGTTAGTTTCCTACGTGATGGGGACGCTAACCCGATGCCCAACCCTCCTCCTTTACCCGGGCTTGGGACCGGCAGTAACTCTAGAAGAGCTACAGGCGGAGTTTTACGTGAAACAATTGTTATTCCATTGACAATCGACGAACAGTATGGAATGATATCATGGTTTCCCGAGTAATATTACATCACTGTTTGTGTAAAAATTACTGAACTTTTAATTTGTAAAAACAACTACTATTGAATTATACTGGAAGGTAACTCCATCATTGTTTGATACTTGTGGTAGAGTTGTGCTCTCTATTCTGTATAGTTTAATAATGAAGCTTTTATTATTTTTCCAGGTAACTTCAGTAGAAACTTCACATAGAAGTGAGCTATTGAAATTCCCCTATATATAATTTATTTGTTCAACCTTGAATTTGATGGGTTGTCTTGTAATTCTGTGTATACATATCTTAGTTTATATCAGTTGAATACTGAACACCTATTGCATCTCATGTTTGAACTCTTTGGCAATGCACAAATATGAGCTGTCTTGTTAACTCGAGTCGATCGGTTATATAAACTATCTTTGATTTAACCAATTTACATAAATGTAATGACTAAACCCTAATATCATTTATATGTTTAGAGTTTTATGATGATGAACTGAAGTAACAGTCAAAGTTACGAACCAACAACAATTAGTTTCATTGATTTTCTCCCTATACTTTCAACAGATAATTAATTCCTATGGTTTAGATCATGAGTCAGTTGAAGCTAGACCACCATGAAAAACCTGGAAGCACTGGACGGCTGTTTCGTCCTGGTATGAGAATTCTCAGAAGTGCGCATTCACGACCCTGTCTCACGAAATTCAAACCAGGACCTAATTAACAGATTAGTCAGAGTAAACATCTAGCCAACTTCCTCATATGTTTACGATCATATAGTGGACACAGGTTCGAATTATGTACTACTTGAATCGATTTAAGTAGTCAATTAATATAACTCAACCTGATATACACATATTTAAAGTGTAACTGATATTCGAGTACTAGACTTGACTAATGGAATGGATAATAATGAATAAGAGTTCATCACAACGTATTCGTGAAAAAATAAGAAGAATATCAGTAGTAATGTAGTGAACAAGAACACGAGTGGGACAATCGAATGTATTTGAACACGAAATTACAGAACATCTCATTAAAATTTGAGAACAATACAGTGAATATTTGCAAAATATAAATTCATTGTCTCAGATTTCATTGTTCATGCATTTTCATATGAATTGCTTTCCGTTGTTTTCTTCTCTATCTTCTATTGAAATATATTGTATTCCTGACTATCGTTATATACTACTTATGTGTATATCAGTAGCGCACATCACATTAAGACAAAGTTGTATTCAGTTGATAGGTTACAAATGGGATAAAACACACCTCTTGCATTCTTCAGCTAGGCGCTATCAGAAAACGGAAGGAAAGAACGATGGTATATTTCAATCGTGACACACTAATTACCTTAATTTACGTACTATAGTATCAGATAAAGTTTCAAATCATTATTATGATTATGATTATGAATGTTATTACCAAAGTAACTGTATGTACTGAGGACACATTTATCTTCTATACCACTATGGAAAATAAACACTTTTTCACTTCGTAGATTTGAATAATTTTTAGATTTTATTTGTTAATTATACATTTTAAGAAACTAGTAACTAATCATCTTTAACACTAGTCTCCATTAGTTCACTCAGTACAATTTCATCAGCTTCTTATTTTCAACAATATCTATTAATGTTATAAGATAATAATGGCTAACAGTAGAATCCAAAACGCGTATTTCATTCTATTTGAAACTCATTGGATGGATTTACCTTGCATCTTAGAGTTGATAACATACCGTTCACTTCAAACGTCACCACGTTATCCATTTAGCTACTGAGTCCTGAAAGGCAACTGCTTATGCGATGTAACGAAGTTTCCAAATCACTTGGTGTTGTTTGCTTGTATCTGCTTATTTTATTTAGGACTGTAATTGATCAGTCTCTTATTGGCATATATGCATACTGTGCATAATGCCTCAATATTGTCTTAATTCACAAGCATTATAAACAAAGATGGATAGTGGCTAGTAGTAAAATCTAGGACATATG